GAACGTAGATTTTATTTTCTCGCGTTTCGCGATGACACGATTTCGTCGATATCGATCACGAGAGAAGGCGGATTTTTTGATTTTAAAGAGAAGGGTTAGCTAGGTTAAGAAGATAGATTTTGTAAACTTCGAATTTTTTCTTTTTACGGTTGCAAAGTTCGATTGGTGATTTCTAACGGTCGTTCAACTCGGATCGCGCGACTTTAAAACGTGAAATCGCGGGGATCGATTCTCTCCTTTCTCCGGCATAATAGTAGTAGTAGTAGTAGTAGTAGTAGTAGGTTTTTCGCCTCTCGCTTCTCGGTTTTGTGCGGGGAGATTGGCGCGGGTTCACGCTAGCGCACGTGCTCCCAGTGTCACGTTTATGATGCGTTCAACCTTCAGCTGTTTCATAGGATTTCTCCGTGGAAAATTTCTCTCTCTTTCGCGAAAAAGAATAAGAATAATAATAATAATCTTTCTCGCATCGACTAGAGTTTTCCACGGATGGAACTCAAAAAAAAAAAAAATCCATCGACGTTTCTCCACCAACGCCATCCTTCTACGTGAACGAGTTGTCTGCCGAATTCCAACCTAATTCTGATCCGTGCTCAAAAAAAAAAAGAAGGAAGCTGATATCATGATACACCCCCGTGCGCGTGGAGGAGGAATAATAGAAGGGGGGAGGGCGGGCAAGAAGAGCGAAACGAGGGGAGAGAGAAGAGGAGGAGATGGTGTTCCGCCATTGAGTACTTTCACACGGAGGTGAACAACACGCGGCTGTATCCGCGGGCCAGGGGTTGCCAACCACTCCTCTTCCACCCGAGATACTCTCTTTTTCTCGCGCGGAGGAAAATTATTATTATTTTTTTCCCCCTTTTACTTGAATTCCAGTTCGAAAGTATAACGAGAAGATGGAAGATATTAATAAGATTTGACTATTTTTAAATATCGTGCTATCAGTATTTAATTGCGTATTAATTGCTCGTTTTAAAAAATCACAGAAGAGCCTGACCTCTTCTCTCTGTCTCTCCTTCTCCTCCTCTTCTATTTTGCGTCTCTACACATTCTCCCCCCCTTTTCGCAATCATAGGCCTACCTGCAGCCGATGAAATGATCCTAATGAGTAGATTTTGCGGTCTGTGGTGATGGACGGGACAGATCATCATCATCATCATCATCATCATCATCATTATCATCGTTTTGTAGAACCGATGATTTAAAGGTGGTCGAGCCTGTTTCGTGTGGTTAGGATCGCAGGAGGGGTTTGCGCCAAGAGTTTCGGGCGCAAAGATCGATTCGACCTGTCGTAAAAGTAAATGGGATAGATTTCTTCCTTTTAACATGATTCTATCTTCAATTTTTTCGTATTTCTCTAATTTCACGATTCCCCTCCTCTCTGTGTTCCAGGTAAGAACGTGTTACGTATCTCGTCGCCATTCTTCATCCCCAAGTGAATCTCATCGTTCGACATTTTATACACAGGTATATTATACACGTTTGTACATACTTTCCAAGAAAGCAACAAGGAAATTGAAGTAACGTAGCGAGTCGACGATATATATATATAACGTTTCCAAGATCCCCTTGGAAGAAAAAGAAAAAAACAAAAGAAAAGAGTCTGTTCCTTTAATTTAGATAACGAGATCCACGACTCGTACCGTGTCGAATATCCGCGTATATTCAAAACGTGGCCAGGTATCATCCGCTGCTGCATATCTCGAGGAGGAGATCCTAGGAGGATCGATCGAAAGTCGAGGAGGAGGATACGGTCAGAGGAAGGAAGGAAGATCATCGTAACGGAGAAGGAATCGGCGTCCTATTTCCGGCCGCCATGACGGAGATAACGAGGCCTTCGGCAGTGCCAGGTGGACGTTGGAGTGGATTGTCCCTTGTTCACTACGAGGATGTGAGAAGATGGATATTGTAAGGGAGGGAAAAGTTTCGAATTCGAAACGGAAATATTTTCCATTCCGTCATTATTCTAATTTATTATTCTAATTTCTTTAACTTCGCCGTTAACCACTTCCCGTACTATTTAGCTCGAAAACTATTTTTTTAATAAATGACATTTTCGAAACTATATTTCATAAATGACAATACTTTAATAGAAATTAGAGTGTTTGTTCTAGAAATAAATAGTACATTATAAACAAGAAATTTAATTATAAGAAAAAATCTTGGATCAATATCTAATAGGAAGATACTTAGTCTAAAAATTAATAGTTCTGCAACGTGGATTATAAGAATCGTGATCTTCTCGTGATTTGGGCCGAAATCTTCGTCAGACTCGTCATGGTACGGGAAGGGGTTAATAATGAACGAAAGTAGCTGGATGAACGACCGTATCGCGAAATGTATCGAGTCGTTATCGGTTATCGAGAATGGAAGTCGTGTTATCGACGACCAAACAAATCGTTTATCGATCGGATTCCTTTCGTCCGGAAAAAGTTCGTAAATCGTGACGCAATTGGTGGCGAGGATAGAAAAATCCGTGACCGTTTCCCAACACACGGCTCTGCAAAAACTCTTATCTGCAGGGATATTATACACGCTTCGGTATTTGCCGTGGACGAAAGTCGTCGAATAAACCGTTCATTGTGTTATAAACCGATAAAACTCGGATCGCGAAAAAATCCTCCATTCAACTCGACCTCGTAATTTTCTTCTCGTTGGAAACGATCTTTTTAAGATAGCTGTATAATTTCCGAACGAATTCGAAAATAATTTCGATTCGAGAATAGTTTTCGAGTTTAAACATCGTAAATTCGTTTTTTAAATCGCGGTTGTTCGTTATACGATGATGTAATATAAGGATGAAGAAGATAAAGTATTTTTTCGAGATAAAGTATTTAGGCAACGTGTATCCACGACACGGAAGCCGTTCCCAATTACATCGATCCAAGGCGGAAAGCTAGCACGAAACACGTGTCACTGCCACGGATGATCGATGTGTAACGCGACTCGATCACTCGAGCAGGCCGCATCCGGGTCAATTAAGATCGACGAAATTAGTATCGGCGCTCCTTCTTTCCAACCTTCCCCCTCTCTTTTCCTTTTTCTTCTCGCCTCTCACGAAAAAGAAATTTTTCATCCGGAAGAAAACTTCTTTCGCTAGAATCTGCCCTTTCTTTTTTATCGAGAAATTTTACATTTATCGTTTCGTTATTGGAAATCAAAGAGCGCGTATTAATTTGATTTCAGATCAGAGAAAAGGTATCTCTGAGACACCTGGTTGTTTTAGCATCGAAGAGCGCGACAGCTGATTCCACCACTGCCCGACTCACCTGCCACTTTCTCCTTTGAAAACGTTACGCGCGCCTCTTCCATTATCTCCTCGAACGCATCCCTCCCTTCGTTATTTCAAAACGAATATTTTAAAAAATACGAGCAACTTTCCAAAATTGAAATATCCGGAGACGAAGTATTCCCCTTTCGAATCGTATCCTCTGCGCAGGTGAATTTCTGTGGAGGGGCGAGTCTCCTCCCGGCCGTGCACGCACTCGTCGGTGCATTGCCCTCGGACTTAGATAGAATCGTCTACACCCACACCGCGCCCCTTTATGCCATTCCGCCGCCTCTCTAACGTCTCACGCGCGATAACGGCTCGAGCGAAACCTCCTTTTCTTCTTTTCGAAACAATTCGAAAGAAAGAAGGGAAACGGAGAGGAAGAGGCGGTTGAATGAAAATTACAGAGAGAATTGGATTGTTTAGATCGTTACTTGGAGGAGAAAGTCGAGGCATATGATTTAAATCGGAGAGGATAATAATACCAACGATCCTCTCAAAATTCACTCTTCCAGATTAATTGATTACGGACACGTTTTGAAGGAAGGAGACGTGGAGGACGATAAATAAATAATACCCTCCCGGAGGATCTATTGGAGAGAGAGGTTAGTCAGCGACTCTGTTAGACGTCGGGATCGGGTGAAATCTCGCGATTATTACTCGGTGACGTATGGTTATTCAGAGATGCAAATGTGCAGTTTCTGCGGCCGGCACACGCGCGTCCCACTTTTCTTCGCGGTCGGAATTTTATTCGCGGCCTTTTCCATTCGCAGCGCACGCATACAGAGAGAGAGAGAGAGAGAGACGGTGTGTCGCGTCCCCTTGATACGGAGGGGAGGGGGTCGAACTTCTCTCGGCCAGTATTTGCGGTGAAACGTAACACGCGATGCAAAACCGCCGATACATAACCACCTTTCGTGCGTCTAATCGGGGTGGAATTGGCTGCATCTTTTGGATGATAATTATTTTCGTTCAGTTGGAGGCAGTTGATTAATTGGTTGATGGAGTTGATGGAGCGTGTTAAATAGTTTCGTGGAACAAGGAAACCCTTGTCCCTTGCGGTCTAAAATTTTTGCAAAGTACGTGTCGAGGGGTGAACGATGTTGTTTGCACAGCTGCGAGTGGAACGATCGTAGTGTAAAGCGTAGAGGGAGGGATAGGAATATGTCGTCAGCTCGGTTGAAAATTTTTGGTCGAGCATTTTCCTTACGAATTGAACGATTATTAATCTCGAACTATCGATAATTCGACACTTTGATCCAATAAATTTCTTTCACAACGAAATTCGTGGAAAAAACTTGAGAATGCTCGTCTTCGTTTTCAACGTTATTAGAACGTGCAGCGCGTTTAATTAAAAATGCTTGAACGCTCGGGATCCAAGGTGATTGAACGATCGTGTTGATCATCGATCATAAAAATGATTTGTTCGACTCGAGAGAGAGAGAGAGAGAGAGAGAGAGAAATATCGACAATTCCTCCAATCATATTAAAGATACGAAACATTATATTTTCGCCAAATTCGATCAAAAGAAATTGGTCATACGCTTCGACTCGAAATATCTTCATCCATAATCATTCGATAATTGACGGTTAAATAAAATCGATAATATTTGTACGAATTGTCGATTAAATATCGATGAAAGAAATCGACGAAAGAAGGAAGCGAGAGAGAGAGAGAGAAAATATATTCCAACGAGTCGAGAGGAAGTCATGTGATATTTTAATAAGAAGAGAATATAACCCGTAATCGATTAAGATCCGATCTCCCTCGATTTTTCTCCCTTTCTTCCGACTAACCTGTAAATTACAGGTTGCAAGTGCCGGCTCGAACGCGCTCCTATCGCGCTCGAATCGCTCAGACAGCGTGAAATTTATGTGAATAAAAAAAGAAGAAAAAAAAGATAGGCGGCCGACATATTATGTTGTGGAGAGACACGCGTGAAAGAGAAAGAGATGTTTTCCAGCTTTGCACACGATTGCATCGCGGGGAAATTTGTGCCAGGAAAAATCCGCGCGACATGTACGCGTTGGACGTTTAATAGCGCGTCGGACGAATAGGAGAGCGATGGAGGATAAACGATTTTTGACCGGATAAACGATTTCTCTTTTTCCCTTCTCCACCTCCACCGATCAGATGTGATTGTGTGTCCTCGTGACTGGTTTCTCGGTGGTGGTAAGAAAATGTGGATGAAATTTATTATGCCGTTGCTCCGCTTATTAATTAATTTGTCGATCATCGGTGTCAGATTAAGCGTTATGCCTACCACCGGTATTAATCGTATCGCGAATTGAATTTCTTTTTATTTTCTCTATCCCTAACTCTCGTAGTTCTGAATATTTAATTAGAGAGAGAGAGAGAGAGAGAGAGAAAATTATGATTTAATCGCCCGATTATGATTTTTGAGAAATTACATCAGGAATATATTTTACGTTACGTGGCACTACTTGTAATATTTATGTATATATTGATGGATTGGATTTTTTGTCGGATTGGATTTAGAAAGTAAGTAATTACAACATCTTTAATTTTTACGTATCAAAACGACTCCCTTTTTTATTATTATTATTATTATTATTATTATTATTATTATTACACGGATAAAAATAAAAATCGAGGATCTATTTCTATAATCGAGAAGAAATTTCAAAGTCTCGTCTACGATAATTATTTTATCCAATTCTTCATTTTTCACTTCGTTTCTCGAATGATGGGCAAAGATATTTCAAGTTCCGGATATACACATGTCTTACCAGGTCGATCCCTTTCTTCAGGCTCGGTTGAATTGGCCACAGTGCACGACCCGCGAATTCCCAGACTTTCCAAAGCTGGAAATGTCAGGAGGCTGTGAAACGTTTGCTGCCAGCGGCGACCTTTGTCGCGTCTCGCCTCGCGGATACGTCTCTGCCAGAGATAATTGCTCGCTTGATCCGTGCCTCTCCTGTCTACCTGTACTGCTCGTGGAGAGACGCGAAATCGATCGAGCACGTTTCCACTATTTTCAGCGCTTCAAAATTTTCGATCGAAAGAAAAAAGAGTTGGCGTCCCCTCCTTGCCGCGAATATAATTTTTCTCGATAGCTCGAGAATCGATCGTGCAAATATTTTTTAGGAAGAAAAATTAAAAATGACAAAACTTTCGAGCAACCGTATGACACGTTGTACGAATGTCTCGCTTCGAAACGAGGCGAGTAGGAAAGAAATAGGTGGAAAAAAAAAAAAAGGAAAAAAAAGGATCAGACGGGTGGCATTCCATTTCGATTACCTTGGCACAGATCCTTTCTTCGTTCTGGCCAGACTGTCGTATCGCATTAAATTTTGCTTGGTGCGTGAACTCGGTTGTGCATAAATAAAAACCGCACGATATGTTATTTAAGGTCAGTAACTCGTTCGTTCGATCTAATGCGTTTTTCCCTTCTCTCGTGACAGGAAAAAATCCCGATTCTTTTTCTAAAAATATATTCTCGAGAAATTTAAGAGAAGTTGTACCTGTTAAATCCTTCTATTGAATCGATGTATTCGATTAAATCCAGTAATCTTTTTCACGACACAATTCGGTTCGATTCCTTCGTTTCTCGTACAACATCTTCCTCGTTATATCAATTATAACGCTTAGGAATTATCGCTTGCAAACGTCTCGTGCTATCCCAAAGCAAAATTTGCACTTGCCTCAAAGACAATATCCTCTATCGAAACTTTCGTGCATCGCAATTAACTCGGCAAATACTCGGCGAGTCATCAAACCAAGTCAAGCCTTCTCCATACAAGAAACTTGCGAAAGCTTTCGCGGCAACTTTGCCCGAGCGAAACTTCTCGATATCCATAACTCCCTCCGGCCCCAAGAAATTTGCCACGAGGTGGCAAAAGGACAGCCTCGATTCGCAATAATTCAACCGAGGCGTTGTTTTACTTCATCGAAGATCGTTCGACTCGTCTGGAACAGTTTGACCAAGTTTCTCAACGTATTAACGGAGAATAGAATTATAAATGTCTCCTCTCTCGAGGAAGAAGCTTCGACATTTCACCTTTTCGAATTTTCATGTCGCTTTTGGAGGATCTGTAATCTAATCCAAATCCAAAAACCGTAAACCCCTTCATCTCGATTGAATTGGAGAGGTCCGAAATTAAAATTACACCATCTTCCCTTTTCTCGAAGTCCGCCCTGTTGCCCCGCCCCGTCGAGAAGTCGCAGAGAGGTCTGAACAGCAAAGTCAATACAACCTCTTGTTTAATATCGCGAAAGATGTTCGCGAGACGGGAAACGGTGGCTCCACCCCTTTCGCGCCTCCACTCCCCGACCCCGGCGGCGTCGATAATTACGAAATGCACGGCACAGGTTGCGGCCGGCCTCCTCCGCAGCCGCCTCGCTCCAGATCCAAATTTCTGGCGGGGCGAGGTCGTTGCACCCGCGCTCGAACAGCGACGAGAGCGAATTCGAGAGATCGAGGGGGGTTCCTCCCGGCGCGGAGGTTGTTGCGGAGGAGGAGGAGGAGGAGGGTGGCGGCGGCAGGCAGGCAGGCGGAGAGAGAGAGAGAGAGGAGGTTGAGTCGGTCCCGGGTTTAC